AAAAATTTCATAAAATATAACAAATGCTGTTTTTCCACTTGGGATGAGTCATTAGCCATATGCTTGCTATATTACAGTCTGCATGTGTATGTGTGCGTGTGCAGTGGGAAGGTTTAACTCAGACAGTATGGATTAAATTGGGCACAAAAAAATCTTGCTCCTAGGAGAAGATGGGACTTGTTTCTTTAATCCTTAATAAACTGGCCTCCATTTCTTATCTCCAAAAGAAATAAAATTTAAAAAATTTAATATACAAAGGCTAAAATAGTAAAGCATTTTTTTAAAAAAATACAGAAAAATAATATATAAAGGAATGAATTCCCAAGATTATTCATTATAGTTAGTGTTCAGTATATCATTGATGAGAATTTAACCATAAAAACAAAGTACATTAAATGATTTTAACAATATAAGGATTGGAATCTCTGAGCTCGGTGCCTAAATCTTCACTATTTGTTTTTTAAGAAGTTATTCTTTATCCACCTTCAGCTCCCTTTGGGTATTCATAAAGGGATTTCTTAATTCAGGAATACTGTGTTACAAAACTCATGGCATCTACTTAGGGTATTCTCACAACTAGACATTCAGCTCTGACAGTTTTGGGAAGGAGGCCAAAGGGACCTTGGAAGAAGGACAGAAGTATTCAGAATGCAGTATTGCGGGCTAATTCAGCTGACTGCCAGCAGTTTGATCTTCATTGACTCAGCCTTCCATCCTTCAGAGGTCGGTAAAATGAAGACCAGATTGCTGGGGGCAATATACTGACTCTGTAAACCGCTTAGACAGGGCTGTAAAATACCATGAAGCGGTATATAAGTCTAAGTGCTATTTCTATTGCTATTGCTACTGCGGCTCTGTACTTTCTTTCTCAACAGAAATACAGTCAGACTATTGCTGTGCTTACTACTTCTGAACAGATCTATAGTCCTGCAGCAGATTTACTGAGCTTGTATTTGTATTTCCTCAGAAATAGATCTACTGATCTCATGGTGTTGAAAAAAGATCCCTTAGATTGCAAACGTGATGCCCAGAAAGGGCACCCAAATAGGCCATCTTCATATGGCTATGCTTAAAATGTTTCTTCTTCTGTGCACAACCTAGAAAGTACAGACATTCATGGGCATGCAATTATTCCAGGTGGAACTCAAAAAGGAGACACACCCAATGGTCACTAGTCATGTCATGTTATGGTCATTGTGCCCTGCCTTCTGCTTTCAAGGGAAAACGTGCCTGGGGACTAGATTGTGAGCTGACCAGAGAAGAGTTGCTTTCTATCTGGGTTGACTGGGAGGACATGTACCTTGAAAATTGACTTTCACATTTTAAAAAAATTAAGAAAAAAATAGATGGAATCTGATTGGCTTTTATGGCAAAGAATCAAGGTCATGGATGTTTAACCTGACTTAACAAGACAATTCTATATTTAACCCTCAACATCAAAACTATCAGCCGTTGTATCAACTGTATGCTTTATATACAGTAAGTGCACTCATAGCTGCTGGCCCACTGTGCATTTGTGCTCTGATGGGTAATGTGGCTGTGTTTCAGGCCTAAAACACTGGAGTGTTCCCACTGAGACAATACACTACCACATGGGTGTCAGTATGAAGCATCTCAGCATCAATCTGCTTGACTTGTTACCTTTAAAACAGAGTCTTTAATTAAAGAGGTTTGAGGTAATTAGGAGATCAAGGAGTAATTGCAGTATTATTCAAAATGGCCAAGAGGTGCTAAGAGTTCAGCTTGGACTAGTTATTCTGTCAGAACCTTTTCGTATCAACCAAAAGATGTACAGCTGCTTCTATATTTGTTACTTGAGTTTAGCTTAGCTTTCAAACTAATAAATATTAAAAGCTTCAGGCTGGCTGGAGAATCCTGGGATTAAAGTCCACCCATCTTAAAGTTGTTGAGGTTGAGAAACACTGCTAGATATTTTGGACAACAGCGTCAATCTCCAATACCTTTTTAATATGCTGTTTATGGCTCATGGAAGTCAATATTATTTCAGTCGTAACTAAACCAGCTGAAAAGTTCATTCTTGCCTGACTTAGTTTCTGCATTTGTTTTACAAGTCTTCCACTGTGTGATTATCACTCTGACAAAGAAGAACAAACTGCCATGGTCCCTTGCTGCCTGCAGCTTTTAATTTAAACAGACAGCTAGGAACCTAGGATTCACAGCTTAAACAGATGGAAAGGCTCAAGCAAAAAGGTGCTGCTTGCAGCTTCTTCTAAATTTGGCCCATCTTAAGCTGAAACATATTTTTGTAGGGAGTGGGTTTCAGAGGTGTTAGTTTGATTATCTAGTGAGCTTTACCTGCAGGGAAAAGGCTTCCAGATTTTCAGACGAGTAAGTTATATAATAGTAAATAGAATGTAAAGATAAATTATGCATAAATATGTTTTAAAGCTTTCTTCTTAGCTGACAGATATTACATGTGGTTCTCACTTCTTCTTATTCTCCGGCTTAGTCAGTCACTCTTTTCTCCCACAAAGGTTTGGAATCTTATCTAGGAATTCATCTATTTGTGGGTCAGTACTCAACTGACATGGTCTATTCCCCAACTTCCCATTTCATCTATCTCAAAATTGAGTGTTTTATTTCTGTTATATTCCAGAAGGGGGAAGGAAAAACGGCAAGAAGCTGCCATTTTAATTTTCTCAGAAAGCTATTTTTAAATTGGAGGGGGGTTTTTTTCCAATTGGGTAAGTTGAGAATAGTTATTTCTTTGTCAATCACTGGATGTTGCCATTACAGCTCACAGCAAGTTTTTTTGATAGCTTCAGGTTGCAGAGGAAGACTACAATTCCATCCAGAAGTTTACTTATTGGAGTACTGCTTTGTTAAATATTTCTCAAAAAAATATTTATTGATGCAGTCTTGTTTAAAATGTAAAATTATAGTTTGTTATTCTATATAGCCATGTTATTAAACTTGAATTATTTGACACTTGTATTTAACAAATACAATTATTTGCACAAAAAGTCTGAAGATAATTTATTTGGAAACACAAAATTTTAAGAAAGGTCTTGTTCTTAACAGGGAAGGGGAGAATGCTAAAGAGGGGGAACTGAAGATTAACTGAAGATTAAGAGTGCAAACCTATGCAAGTATAGTCAAAATAAAGCTTGATTTCACATATTGGGATATATGAACAATGCACAGTTCAGACTTAATGAATAATGATAAAGTTATTTGCGGTGTACTGTCTGGGTTCCTGTATCAACACCTGTTTTAATAAAAAGCAGGCTTTCCTGTCTCTAGTGAGAAATGATATGCCAAGTAAAACAAGAGATGGTCTACTTGTCAACCTGGTCAAAACATATGTCCATTTGTCTGAAGCATTACCTGCAAAGATTATATTTAAGCTGTTGCCATTAAGCACGTATTGACAGTGAGATGCACCATTATTGGGAATATTCCAAGGGCTACACTGGAAGCCACATGAACAAAGAGATGCTGGAACCCCAGCAGTTCTTCATCCATTGTCATTCTCCCAAGCACTGAATCTTCTAATACACCTGAGGAGAGGCAAATACAGAAGCATAACAAAGAAAGCACTTTTTCAATAGGGAAGAATTTGAAGAAAGGAACATATCTTGGCTTAAATAGTTTCCAAGCTTCAACGACACTGCAGACTCAAAGAAGCATAATTACAATATCACTTCCCTACCCTTCCAGAAAAAGTAGTGGTGGGGAGGGGGGGCAGAATTGATTTCAGAGGCAGAAGTGGTCAGGTTGTGAATCCCTTTCACTGTGATTTCTGCAGAGGTTTAAATTGAAACCAGGCACAAGGAATTTCATTCTTTGTTGGAGTTGTTGCTTGAGCTGATCTGAACACAACGGAAACCTGAGCTGGTGTAGGGCTTGGCCCAAGAGCTTTGAAGTGATTTCTCTTGGTAAGGAAATCATTTCCTTTGTCTATGCATGTTCAGGAAAAATGCCTCATCAAGGAATGGTTCCCACCAAATTGTTCACACTGTAATTACTTTGTACAAAAGACAGCATATATTTTCTATTCCTGGAAGTAACGGAAAAGGGAGGGGGAAGCAATCATAAGTATCACATACTGATTATGAACTCCCCTCCTTAATCATTGACAGTAGGATTTTTTCCATATTTAGTTGCACATAAGTAGAACACAGAAATAAATGAGACTTAAATTGCTCATGGTTAATTCTAATTGATGCCAATGGTTTAAATATCATTAAATACAAAATCAGCCCAAACCCATGTTGCATTTTGGGATCCTTGCGTTAAGTTGACTTTTGTGCCATCTTTGTGCCAGTTACCATTTTGTGGGGGTTAAAAGTCAGCTGCCATGTTTTACATTCCTTAACACTTCTGTCAGTAATCCAATAATTTGTTTCTTGCCTCTTTTTTTAAAGACTTTATCCTGGCTCACATGGTATGATCTTTTGTTTTTCATCTATCTGAGCATAACCTTTGTAAGGTAATTTAAATTAAGATATAGATTTGAATCCACATAGTTCAAATCCAGTGAAAACCTATTCCTTATTTTTGTCTGACTCTATAGCACTCCTATTGTTTCTGATACACTGCCTTAGGGCTATTAGTTAGGAAGCAATGTAAAATTTGCTAACAAAATAAAGAAATCCTAGACAGGAATAAACATTTCTGGCCTGGCTCTCTCTCAAAAAATGTCTGTCCTATCTGCTGTACCAAAATGATGAATTTGTTTATCTCTTATGGTTCATAAAGGAGGTCAGGAGATATCTTGCTGTTTTGGTCCTTGGGGATGGATAAGAAAGATGGCATTTGCAGTGAATATATGACTAGGCTACCATAGCCAAAATTTAATAAGTCGTCATAAGAAGACCCAAATATGTTCCTTCTATTTCATTATGTCTCTGTGCTTCCATGTTTATTCTGAAGATTTACACTTGATTTAACCAATTATTTTCAAGACAACTTACATTTCATTGTGATCATGCAACCACCATCAAATTAGAACAAAAACACATACAAAACAGCAGCTCTCAAGTGGAACAAGACCATACTTTATTTTAGTTTTGAAGTACCGTAGCTTGTTCTACATATTTTTATAATCACTTGATATTAAAATGGATGGTGCATGAATGAACCAGATGATGCAACAAAACTCTGAAACAATCCTCATATCCAAATGACTTTTTGATAAGTGTATATTTAATAGCATAGAAGAGTATCTAAAAGAGAACCAGGACAATCAAACTAAGCAGAAAACATTTTTTTTTAAACTTGGACCAGTTATGACCCAACAAATGAATCTAGTCAATTAGTCATGAGTGATAGAAAATGGTACTTTTTTGCAGGCCTGAGAGCAAAAAACATGTGGTCAATGAGTAACCGCCATTCTTCGCTGGATGGCAAGAATGGGCTTAAAAGACCAGAAGTGCTATCATTTACAAACTGATGGTTTGATTTATCTTTATATGGAGTGAAACAGAGCTGAGTGTACTGTACAAGCTGAAATCAAGTCATTGGCTGGATTATAGAACACACTAGTCTACAGTGGAGTTAGAAAGTTGGAAAGGAACAACCTATGGTTCAGTGGAAGCATCAAAGCTACTTATTATGGCCACCCACTCTGGAAGACTCAGGCGATGATTAAACAATCCCAAAAAATTAAAATCTATCCTCTTCTTGAGTACATTGTCAGAGGGAAATTAACAGCTTATGTGGTTAGGAGTTTGACTTTTTACCGATCTTACTGTTAAAAAGTTTAATATTAAAGCAGAATCTGCCTTCATGTTTAATTCCAATAATTTCAATCTATTATTTTATAACCTGCACTCTGGGATGATGGGGAACAGGTCTTGATCTTCTTTTGCATGGTTTTATTTGAAGAATGTCTTTCTCCTCTTCCCTCTGCTTTTTTTCAAGGATATACATGTCTAGCATTTTCATTCATGCTCTCTTCACAGACTTTGTTTCTTGTCCTTTGATCATTCTCTCAATTCTTTTCTATGGACCCGGTAGAGTTTGTTTCAGTTGTTTTAAAATATGGGTATAAAATTGGACAACATTTCAAGATGGGCTTCTGTTCAACACAATATAAAGTGAAACTGTGAAAAATTTCAATAGATGCATTCTATTTTTTAACCTATTAACATAATTTCTAATGTTATTTCTACCTTCTAGAGTGTTAACTATTCTATTTGTTATCTTCAACTTTGATCAGTGTTTCTTTCACCTCTCTATCAATATCATTAATAAAACTATCAAAGGCCAGTTGGCCAGGACTGAATGTCTACTTGTTATACTAAGTAGACGTTCATATAACAAGTAGACACTCAATACAGAACTATTTCCAAAATTCTGTAATTTTCATTTCAATATGTTACAAAAATCCAGCATAGTATGCTGAACCACAAATTTGGATCTATTTCATAATCCATAGGTAAAGGTAAAGGTTCCCCTCGCACATATGTGTTAGTCATTCCCGACTCTAGGGGGCGGTGCTCATCTCCGTTTCAAAGCCAAAGAGCCAGCGCTGTCTAAAGACATTTCCGTGGTCATGTGGCCAGCATGACTAAATGCCAAAGGTGCATGGAACATTATTACCTTCCCACCAAAGGTGGTCCCTATTTTTCTGCTTGCATTTTTTACATGCTTTCGAACTGCTAGGTTGGCAGAAGCTGGGACAAGTAACGGGAGGTCACCCCGTTATGCGGCACTAGGGATTCGAACCGCTGAACTGCTGACCTTTCAATCGACAAGCTCAGCATCTTAGCCACTGAGCCACCACATTCCTTTCATAGTCCATAAGTAATTCAATCTCGTCCAACTAGATTAGGACCATATTCCAATGCCAGAGAAGCTCCCAAACAAGCATCCATGCTTGGCTGATGAAGCCATGCTTGTGGGTTGGACCTGGTCAAGTGACCATTGGGAGACTGCAAACCCTCCTGACTTTTGCTAGGCTTTGAGGAAGCCAGCCACCTGCATACAAGTTGGCAGTTGGCAGTTTCAGGACAAGCTTCCCAAAAGCTTTCCCTTGCTTAACCTCTTCCCTCCCCTAGAAACCCACAATTCTTCAATAAAGAAAACAAACAAACAAAAACCGCTCAGAGGGACAGACTTGTTGATATTTCTCCTTCCTCCCCCCCCCCCCTCAACTTAGGTGCTGAAACTAAACTTTCCACTTCTGCCCTCCAATCTTGATCTCTTTTAACCACTTCATTTGCTAAATTTATTGTGTGTGGGGGGGGGGGTGAAGTAGTGTCCCTGTGATCAGTTTTAAGGATGAATGATTGTGAGGGCACTGCAGTCGCTGTAACTTTGAAACTACATATGACCTTGTAGTTTAGAAACTACAAGATCATATGTAGTTTTTGGGAGGACTGTCATAACTTCAAACGACAGTTAAGTGTTCGGTTGTATCTTGAGAACTACATGTAAAAAGGAATGCAATGTCTGTGCTGCTTTACCTCATATCCTAAAATGTGAAGAAATCCTCAAATAAAATAGACCAGCTTCAACATTCTTCTTACATTACTACTTGTGTACAGATTTCAAAAAGTAACGGTTAAATTACATCTCTGGAAAACAAACTACTGGTAATTTTAAAACTGTCTGGTCTGAGCTGCTTAATTTAACATCCTTAGAATTGAAATTATTTCTGTACCAGGTGAAAACAGTACCTGGTTTTCTTGTTCTTTTCTTTTTGTCAAACATAAAGTCTTGCTTCATTCAAGTATTACCAGTGCTATTCAGTTTAGGGATATAATTGAACAGGTTGTAAAATGTATGGGAGGTAATATTTGGAGGCCTGTATGCCAGGGTTTTGCTTCAAGATACCAGAGTTACTGCATTGCATCTGAGCTGTCAACCTATTTCTTTCCTTTGTAGGTTTCATTTTGTGTTATTTCTTCACCTTTTGGAGACCCCTTACCTCTCCTCTCTTAAATCTACACTCACCACCAAGCAGACATAATCCAAGAATTTCAGTAAATCAACACTATATGCTCCCTACTGACTCAGAGAATTTGATACTGACAGATTATTACACCTAGAAGAAAAATACTGCCATAGTTTCTCTAACATTATTTGCCTGGAAGTAAGAGCAGAGACAGAGGTGGATAAGATCCATTATGAATGTACCAATGCCGGTATTTTGCTGTAATAGAATTATTTTTAATTTATATTTTATAACAGAGAACATAGGTTTCTGGACAAATCGCTCTCTCCATCTTTAACACCAATGGCTAGTTCCTGCAGATCAATTACCCTCCTTAGAGTGCAATCCTATGCAAGTTTACTCAGATGTATGGATCACAGGTAGTCCTCACTTACCAACTGCAATTGGAACTGGCAACTCTGTCGCTAAGCAATGTAGTCGTAAAGTGAAATATTACAAGAGATTTTTATCTTGTATTATATATTACTGTTTTTTTCTAAAGGTTCATTTCTAAGCTATTTAGGTGACTCAGTGGCTAAGACACTGAGCTTGTCGAACAGAAAAGTCGGCAGTTCGGTGGTTCAAATCCCTAGTACAGGTCTCCTGCGTGAGCAGGAGATTGGACTAGATGTGGCCTCCAAGGTCCCTTCCAACTCTGTTACTGTTACTGTTACTGGAACAAGGAACAAAGTACCCCCCTAAGATGACTGTGAATAAACAGTGTATTTTTTTTATTTATTTGATTTATATGCCGCCCTTCTCCGGAGACTCAAGGCGGCTTACAATGCGTTAGGTATTATTCATTGTACTCAGTGGTGAAATGTAAAATTTGTTACTACGGGTTTTGTGGCCATGGCTTGGGGTGTGGGGGGTAATGTGACTGGGTGGGCGTGGCCAACTTTTTTTTTTTTTACTTTTAAAAGCATTTTTTCTACAACCTCTTTAGCTGAAGAGGTTGCAGAAAAAAATGCTTTTAAAAGCCTCTGATGATCCCAGCTGAGCCGCGCGATCATCAGAGGCTTTTTTTTTTTTACTTTTAAAAGCATTTTTTCTGCCGAAGAGGTTGTAGAAAAAAATGCTTTTAAAAATTTAAAAAACAGCCTCTGATGATCGCACAGCTCAGCTGGGCATGGGGGGGGGCAGGAATTTTTGCTACCAGTTCTCCGAACCACCCAACTCTATTGCTACCGGATCGGGTGATCCGGTCCGAACCGGGAGCATTTCACCCCTGATTGTACTCAAGAATACATCCTATTTTATTCATTGGTTTATTCTTCCTGACATGTGTATAGAATTTAAGTGTGTAAGGTTATGATCCTAAACTTTTAGAAACAAATCCTATTGAAATTTGAAATTCATAGGAAGATCACCTAATTACCATAGTTAGGATTGCAGTATTATGCAGTCTGTATTTCTGGTAATGACTCTTACATTTCCTTCCATTCTTGGGAGAGGAAGAGAGACAGAGATAGAAATTGGATAGTTCTACCCAAACCAACCAACCTTCCTTCCTTCCTTCCTTCCTTCCTTCCTTCCTTCCTTCCTTCCTTCCTTCCCAAATTTTGTTACCTCATAATAGGAAAAATTATAATATGAATAGACAGAAAAATTCTTATATGACTATTCATTAAACTGAAAATTGGAATTCTTAAGTAAAAAAAAATCTTATCATGTTTTCAGTAGCTTCCCTTTTTATGTCTTCTTTTGCTTCATATTGCTAGGTCCTCTACCATGAAACATGAAATTCTTTTCTCACACTTACATTGACCCTTAAGGTAAAATTTAGAAACAATTCTGTTGCACAATTGACAAAACAATTATGAACTTTTAGCCATGTGAAAAGCATATGACGTAAAATCTCAACCATGTTAGTTCTAGATACACTGGAAATGTGGGGACTGAAGTGATACCTTTTGCACTCAAAGCATAAGCTGTTCCTACAAGGACTAGGTTTATTTATTTATTTATCCATTACCAAGACAACTCTGTGAACTAACTTGGGCTGAGAGAGAGCGACCAGCCCAAAGCCTCTGAGTGAGCTTCCATGGCTGAGGGCAGAATAAACATTAGGTCTTTCTGGTATCAAATTAATCTTCTAAACTCTAAACATACATGAGGTTATGTAGGCTAATTTAACTACGAATCTCAGACAATAACTTTCTCACATATGAATCACGCAATATTTTATATAAATATCAGAATAATATCTGCATGTTGATTCCTGCAAGTGTGTCTCTAGAACTGAGTCATTTCCCTTAATAAAAACATGCAGATGGACTTCTAAGAATAGTATTTGGAGAAGGCAGTTGTCAATTATCATGCAAGAGCCTACTTTTGTGATCTCTCAGCACCAAGACTGCAATTCATTGCAAAGTTTCCACCTGATAGACACAGATTGCTCCAAATGTAATGAATTGGTCCTTGGTACTACTGGTACTTGTTGAAACAAATTCTCTCTGCCTAGTCTAAAAGCATTATTTTCATTTCAATATTATATTCCCAGACATCTAAACATCTAAATCAGTTATCCATTTCAGAAATGGGTAAATCAAAGTGTTTACTTCTAGGATGAATTTAATTGTGACTTTTCACAATTAAGTGGATATTCTGGAAGCCCCAGTGGAAAGGAAAGCAGGAAAGGAGATATAGAGAAAAGTCAGTGTGGTTTAAGTATGTTCACAAAAGTAACTCCACCTATGAGTATTAAATACACATACATATTTGGACACAGATGTGTTTTGTTCTGTATGGAACCTTGTGTCTGCAATGACACAGCATTATAGACACTTGAGCATGAAATAAAGGATGTCTGTGTTGCCCTCTCTATAAAATAACTGTTGGGAGAGCTGTTGGATTCTAAAACAAAAGTGTTTGACATTTCTAAGTCTACAAATCTTCTCATTTCTGTATAGAACATTTATTATAGAGTCACATGTACCCCAAACTACTGATCCCTAGGATTTCCAGTCTTGATTAACTGATATTGTTACCTGGGAATCCTCCAATATCTCTGGAGCGTCTCACCTTGGTTAAAGAGTGACTGAAGTGATAACTAGAAGAGGGCAGTAAATCTATACTACATATTTTCATCTCTAGGATGGTTTTATGGGGGAAAAAATGTCCACCATTTCTTAGAAGATCATTTAGTTCCCCACATTATCATTCCTTCCCTTCAGCATTTTCAAAGAATTAATATAATTTGTCATGAGAGTATATTTATAATATGTTTACAAATATTTGGGGTTATAATTCTATTTTATCATTTTTATTTTACTGGTCGAGGCATATGAGTTTGGTTGTCCGTACAGTGCAGTAATTACTTTAGTTTGTACAATGCCCTTCCATCTTGAACATTTCTATGTGTAAATGCCAAGAGGACATTTTCAGATTTGCTCAGCTGCATAGGATACTGTTCGAGCTCTATAAAAATAATAAAGCAATCAAATATCACTTTGTAGGAAATCCTCATACCCAGATTTGAATTTGCTGTTTCTTTTGGAACAAAATTAATAGGGGAGATTTAAAAAAAATAAAAATAGTAGCTTCATTATTAGGGAGTTAATCAATAAACAATCAGTACAGGCTTCTATTTAGACCTATGGCTAGAATTAAAATCCCCTAAGAAAAGGCCCTACAAAATGGGGACATGATGAAAGAAAATAGGACAGTGATTTTTAACTGTGCACCCCCAATTAACAAATTCTATAACAGTACAGAGTGATATTAGATGTATAATTACCAAACTATTTTTACATGACAAGTTCAGCAGCAATTATGTGGTGTGTAACAGAGGATTTGAAAATAAGATGACAAAGATCATGTATTTGCATTTCAACTGTACAGTTTATGTTTTTCACACAAAATGCCCTTTTGTCTGAAGAACACCCTTGGCCTTAGCAGTGTCCTCCTTACAGAGGCTCCAGAAGATATTATGTTCATCCTTTCCATTCTTATTATAATAAATGTGTGTTCTTTTGGTCAATCTGAATTAAATGAAATCTTTTGTTTTAGGATATTGGATAAGTTAGTAGACAAAGGGCTGTTTCTAACAACAATTATCTTTGGGTTTCTTGGCAAATGCTACAATGCTACAATGTCTCTCTCCCTTTCTATTTAATCTAAGTCAGAAGTCTTCAAACTTGGCAGCTTTAAGACTTGTGGACTTCAACTCTCAGAATTCTCCAGCTAGCATAGCATAGCTGGCTGGAGAATTCTGGGAGTTGAAGTCCACAAGTCTTAAAACTGCCAAGTTTGAAGACCTCTGATCTAAGTAAACAGCTTACTTTTCCTTAACCCATAGAACTTTATCTGTTTCTTTTCTGCAAACACATCTAACCACACACATATTTCTCTCATGCATGTGCACAACTTTTCTTGTTTGTTTTTTCTCTCCTTCCCCCTTCCAATACATGCAAGATTTGGGCTTTTTAATTAGAAAGTAGTGACAGCATCCTGCCCACAAAAGAAAAGGTTGAAAACTTGCCTCAATGTTTAGTTGTTTACCTACTGAGACTTTTCTACTCCACCACCATGTCAATTCTTTGGACGCCAGAGAAGTCACCCTCTTGTTGTCTACAAGTCCTATTTCAGAAGAGGTCA